CACTTAATAGAAGAAATTATCAATAGGAATTGTACTGACATCAAGTAGAGGATCTAAGCCGGGTGCTACAACAACCTAACCAACAACACAACAAAAACTAAACAATGTAAGCCAAAGGCCTAGGGAATAACTATTACAATAACAAACAACATATATCATCATATAAATCAACTTATCAACAAATAAATATACACCACAAATCAATTACTACTTTATATCATATCAACCCATATACACCTAATTCATTATTGCCTTATAACACCATTGAGGATAACCAATAATTCACCACTATTATATATATATAGATATATATTATATATATAGATATATATATAGATATATAATATATATATATATATATATAGATATATATATATATATATAGATATATATATTATATATATATATGCATACCTTTGGATATACGCCGTGCATCGTAACACAACCATATTCATTATATATTATAAGGTGAACTTATTTTCACTAAACTATAATATATCATATCACTGTACATCTAATCCGCATATTATGCATCTACACACCACACATCAACAAGAATAGGTGTTGGAGTAGAGTTACTCACATGGCTAGTTAATAGACTAACTCTTGTTTTGGTCACTGGCCACCACTGCCTATCAACTTTCCATATGCTAACACCTATCCAACAAATAACAAGATCCTCAGAACCTTTCACAACTCATTACAAGGTAAACACCGTGACTATTGTCACGAGACTATTAAACTTCAAAAATAGAGCTGAATAACTAACTTAAACCCATAAGCTATTAGGTAGATCTCACTCATCGGGTAACTATGAGAACAAGGATCTGATTGCGCAAGGCAAGCTTGAAAACTCAAACCTTGAGTTAATGCTTAGATCAATGTCTGCTTCTAATTAAGAGTTCCCAGTCAAGTCTGGCAAGACCATCGAGACTGAAGAGAGAAAATCAACAAAGTACTTCAAGTATTAAGTATGGAGTAATGAGTAAAATCAAAGCAAAGACAATAAATGAACAAGTAGAATGTTTGAAAGAGTTTGATTTGAGAGAAGGATGCAAGTGAAGTAAATTCCAATATAACTATCTTTGGAGTAACAATCTGTCTTCTTTTCTGATCATTAAACACTCCTTATGTAGCAAAGGATGAACACATTACAAACCGGAAAACTACAAAGGAGCGGACATGTCAGTACTTATGACATTCTGATGTCCAAATAAACAAAAAGACTAAGTGCTAAGTAACGTTACATCATAGAAAACGACAATAATTTAATGCATAGACGGATACACTGATTCAGACTTATTCTCATTTCGGAACATCTTCACTTCGAACATACTCTCTCTACTCCAGACATAATCTTTACTTCTGACCACAAACGATTCCGGACCATATCCATTTCATACCTAAGACTGACTTCGGAACTTCCAAAGGTTAGAGATTGCTAGAGGTTTCACTTACAGGTTTCCAACAATCTCCCCCTAAGTGAACTTAGAATCCAGTCGGCTTAGCTCGAATTTTCCTTGATGAACACGTATGCTTTGTACAACCAATCTCTGACTTCAATGTACCATTGCAATTGAGTCACCAACTTTTCCTTGACATGTTCAGGAGCATCAGACTTGGAAGCACGATTGATGAATTTCCGAAGAGCTTTGGTTGGAACTAGATGTTTGTCAAGGACTCGGAAGAAGTCCTTCTGTTTGTCTTCTTTTGCTTGTAAGGAAACCCTAGTACCGGCTCATCAATTGGCCTTCAGCCAATAACTCAGCTTCTGGTAGAATGAAGTCAATTTTGGCCAAGTAGTTTTCGGTTCCGAACAAATGTGCGAGTTCATAGTCGCACCGACATAATTCAACAACATAGTCTTTGAAGAAGCTTAAAGCAGCTTGGTAAGCTCCTATGCTGATACTGTCGTCTTGATGACTCCGAAAATGTGCACCAATGGTCAAGATGTTATTTGGGTTGATTGCAGGAAAGTCCACTACTAGAAAACAGCCCTTTAATGACGCGCAAACAATAACACGCGCTGATAGAGGACGCGCATTTGTGCGTGCCCTAAAAAATAATGTCAGCTTTGCAAAATGTGAAGGATAGAGGACGCGCATGTTTGCGTGCCCTAAAATTAATGTCCAAAAAAAAAACACGGAGGGCACCTACCATAAAAAGCGTGCCGTGTATAGATGTCGCTTTATATTTTTTTTAGGAAGGCGCGTTCTCGCTTTTTTTTAATCGGCGATGATGGGAAATGAAATCCCAAAAAATTAAACACCCGCCTAATGCTTCTCTCCTTCTACAATCCTCTAACAAAGAGCCCTAATTCTATTATGAGGCTGTCAATCCTTTTGAAGCAGCCCGTCTTCCTGTACCTTGATCTGCACTCTCTCTCCCTTCTCTTTGCAAGCCCTAAGCCGCCATCACCAGCATCGAAACCCATCAGCTCTAAGCAGCCATGGATTCTGTAAAGAGTGTTTGTCTCGTATGTTTTTATCATCGCCATCAGACACTACTATTCTCTATCCACTATGTCGCCAAGTCTCCGTATGTTTTCAGAAGCGCCATTCGACGAAAAGAACTAGGGCTTTGAACCACATCTCAATAAATTGTTCAGAGAGATCCAGCAGCTCCTCTCACTCAAAACACCTTCGATTGAAGGTTATGTGACTCCTTACATCACGCCATTCGATTGAAGCTATTTACAGAGACCCGATCGCCTTCAATCCAAACTCCAATCAGGCCTGTACCTTCAATTTCCAAATTACACTTCAATCAAGCTTGTTGATTGTCTTTCTTTTGGATCCAAATTCAAATTTTGTGTTCTTCTTTGGCAATTTGGAGGTGGAATTCAGGTTGTATTACAGGAGAGTAGAGGAAGGGAAACAATATCCAGTACTCTGTAGGAGATTAGCTAGCCTAACCGAAGAGTTCATTTCACATAAAAGTCCAACAGGTGGGTTCGATTTCATCTCCGGGAAGAGGATTGAACAAAAACTCATCGATTACAATCAAGAAGCAGAAAGATTTGGGGGTAATTCCAATTCCAGTATCATTTCAACATCTCTCAACGATCTCTAATTCTCTTCCACTTCATTTAATCTATTAACATGACTTGATTTAGGTTATGCATATGAAGAGGTATCAGAAGTCTCACCTGGTCATCGATACATTGCATACACCATGTATGACAAAGACAACGATTTCTTCAAATTATGTGTTAGAGATTTGAATTTAGGTTCTCTCTGTAGGAAGCCACAAGCTGATTGGGTCTGTAATGTGGCATGGGCTAAAGGGGGTCAAGGCATATCTGTATCATGAGGTTTTTTTTTTCCTTCATATCAGTTGGCTCTAAAATGAGCTCTAAACCCTATATTTTATTTGTTTGAGAAATTGTGATTTGATTGTTCTTCCAGTCCCAAGCTGCTTGTTTCAAGAAAGCGAGAGATGATCTACACAAGGTCAAAGCATGGGTTTTCTCTCCACAAGTCAAAGTTATTAAGTGTTGGTGGGTCGAGTTGAAAATGGTCAAAATCCATAGAAAAGAACTCAAAAAAAACTAACGAGGTCTGTACGGTTATTGCTATTTATGTATAACTGTATGGATATATGTTTGAACTGTAACTATGGCTACTGATTTGGCTGCTGAAGAAGCTGACATTTGTGAGGAAGATGTGTTGAAGGAGAAAGATGCTTTTGAGGAACTTGAAGCTGGCAGCCAAGTCGCTGACTGAGACAGTTAATCAGTTGATTGACACTGTTCATCAGGTGAGAATCATATCTTTTTTATTTATAATGCTTTAGAATTTGTATGAGGGGTAAAATAGTAATTTTGTTTGATTTCGATTTTCAGGTGAAGGAGGATGAAAAAGCCGAACAGGCGACCCGGCCATCAAGAGTCGCTGATGCGGTCAAACATCAGGCGACCCGGCCAGAACAGATGGCGTGAGGCATTGGATCGACTTCTTGAAACAAATAACTTCCCAGAGTTCACGGGCCGGGTTTGCCCCGCTCCATGTGAAGGTTCATGTGTGTTGGGTATAATTGAAAACCCGGTCTCCATCAAAAGCATTGAATGCTCAATCATAGACAAAGCCTTTGAAGAAGGATGGATGGTGCCCAGACCCCCCCTCAATCATAGACAAAGCCATAGTAAATATTCATTATAATTTATATGAATGAGTGGTCTGTGGATAATCAATCGTGTTTTATTAGTTAGGACTTACCTTAAGCTGTGGTCTGTGTTTTATGCTGCACGCAGCTGCAAGAAAGCCTTTAGTAGCAGCTATAGATGGGCCTGCTTTTGGTGGTGGACTAGAGATAGCACTGGTAAGAAACATGATTCACCTTCACCTTCCTTTCATTTCAAATGACAACTCTTTTTTTTAATGCTTGAATTTGTTTGTTAGGCATGTCATGCACGCATATCCACACCTACCTCACAACTTGGCTTGACAGAACTGCAATACGGGATCATTCCTGGATATGGAGGTGACATTTTTTCACACACACACACACACATATATATATATATATATATATATATATATATATATATATATATATATATATATATATATATATAAACCTTTCAGTATGATCCATACATAATAGCTACCATCTGAACCAGGCACTCAGAGTCTTCCACGCCTTGTTGGCCTTCCTAAGGCTCTGGAGATGATACTGGTATGCTACATATGTTTATTGCTTCTTTAATCATGTGTTAGATGAACTGATCCCACTCACTCTCTCCCTCTCTCTCTCTCTCAAATAATAGATGTCAAAAGGAGTAAATGAGAAGGATGCATTTAGTATGTCCCTTGTTGATGCTGTAGCCCCTGTTGATGAACTAATTAGAAGTGCATCTAGATGGGGTTTGGATATTTCAGAAGCTAGAAAACCATGGATTCGTAGCCTTTACAGAACCGACAGACTAGAAGCATTAAAAGAAGCAAGGTTAATACTCAACACGGCGAGAGACGAAGCACAAAAACAGAACCCAAATGTGAGTCATCCATTAATTTGCATCGATGTCATTGAAGAGGGTATAGTTTCTGGTGCTCGTATTGGACTATGGACGGTACATTGCACTCATTTCTTCTATTGTTTTGAATGTGATGAATGGATGGATGCTGAAAAAGTTCTGGTGGCAGGAAGCAGAGGCCTTGAATGAACTCCGGCAATCTGAAACTTGTAAAAGTTTGGTCCACATATTCTTTGCTTGATATAACACTTCCAAGGTTTGGAGTTTGGTCTGGACACCTTTCTTATACTAACAGTTAATGTTGATGTGATCATGACTTGTTAAAAACAGTTACAGATTTCAGGTATAACTGATATGGGGTTGCAGCCAAGGATGGTAAATAGAGTTGGTGTTATTGGTCCGGGGTCAATAGCAATAGCAACAGCTTTTATCCTTGCTAACTTTCATGTAATATTTAAGGAGGATGATGAGAATTCTCTGGAGGCTGCACTCGGTGAAATCAAAGGTGAGTCATGATATGAGCTTAAAAAGTATGGTCACAACTCACAACTCTTACTTGGTTATCTTCATCTTCAGCCAATTTGCACAACCATCTTATGGCAGGGAAAATGACCAAGGAGAAGCTTGAAAGAACTGTATATCTGTTGAAAGGTGTACTCAGTTATGATAGCTTCAAACATGTGGATTTAGTTGTAGAGGTGAGTGTGAGTCCCAACTATATAATTCATCTGTTACAACAAGGGTTTTGGCAGATAAGTCCCTGAAAAAGGTAAAGTTTTTTAAATATTATTTTTGCTACTTTTCTTTTAATTACAAAAAAATATATATTATTTGTTGTGTTGGCACTTGGCAGGCCCTGTTAACAATATTGTTGTTATGAGACTGGTGAGTTCAAGTTCAGGAGAGCTACGAAACGATGGCATGCACCCAATGACTACTCTATAAATGTTGCCACTGTTAACGCTACTCAGGTATAACCAAGGGTATTTTGGTCTTTTAATAAATAACTTTGACTAACCTTTTTAATTTCCATAACAAGTGCTATTGGCTACTAGAGGTGGCCATCTGGTTTACCTTGAAATTGATGATGGTGTTTTAGTAGAAAAAAAGCACGCAGAACTGAAATATGATATCTCATGTCTTGACATAAACCCCATTGGTGAAAATCCAAATTATAGTAATCTTGCTGCAGTTGGGATGTGGACTGTATTAGTGTCAAGATATTTTCACTACCCGATTTAAATCTAATCACTGAAGAACATCTAGGTGGCGAAATAATACCACATTCTGTTCTTCTTTGTGCCTTTGAAGGGGTATGATTCTCATCTCATCTTCATCTTTATCTTCATCTATGAGGGCAAATTTGTAAAAAATGTTTAATGTTTAATTACAGATACCTTAGTTGTTGTGTGCACTTGGGGATGGACATCTTTTGAACTTTTTACTCAACACAAGCACAGGGGAATTAACAGACAGGAAAAAAGTGTCACCAGTCAAGATATTTTCACTACCCGATTTAAATCTAATCACTGAAGAACATCTAGGTGGCGAAATAATACCACATTCTGTTCTTCTTTGTGCCTTTGAAGGGGTATGATTCTCATCTCATCTTCATCTTTATCTTCATCTATGAGGGCAAATTTGTAAAAAATGTTTAATGTTTAATTACAGATACCTTAGTTGTTGTGTGCACTTGGGGATGGACATCTTTTGAACTTTTTACTCAACACAAGCACAGGGGAATTAACAGACAGGAAAAAAGTGTCACTTGGGAAAGAACTAAGAATGTTGTCATAAGCTGCAAGAGATGCTGGAGACCTTAGAGAAGCTAAGGACAAACTGGAGAAGTGAGTTGAAGAGTTGACATGGAGATTAGAGTTTGAAAAGCATTTGAGGGTATATTTTTTTTTTATATTTCTTGTATCTAATTAGTTTGTAAATTTTTGTTACAACTTCTATTGATTTGTTTTATCTTTCCATGGAACGATTATTTGTATGACATTAAATTTTATGCAATGGATTGTATTTTTTGTATATGATATTTTATTTTCTATTATGATACATTAAATACAAATTTAATTTGAAAATTAGTAAATCTATAAATAATATTTTTTTTAAAAATTTAAAATTATGATACGCAAAAATGTGTGTCGTCTTCATTTATGACATGACCTTTCTTGACAGGGGCTTTGATGATACGCAATGCGAGTCGTAAATGCGCGTCGTAAGGTTACGACATGCAAATGCGTGTCATCTTCCTTTATGACAGGGCCTTCCTTGATACGCAATGCGTGTCGTAAACGCGGGTCGTAAATGCGTGTCGTAATTGCGCGTCGTAAATAGACGACGCGCAAAAGCGTGTCGTCTCTCGTTATGACAGGGCCTTTCTTGACATGCATTTGCGCGTCGTCTGAGCGTTTTACGACACGCAATGTGCGTCGTAAAAGGCTGTTTTTCTAGTAGTGGTCGGCGTCAGTGATGGTGCTTTGAGTTGGTTTGTTCCGGAAGATGTTGCACCGGAACAACACAAAATTAAGATCGAACTTGGTCAAGATCTTCCTTCCGAATTTGGAAATTTTGGTGATCCTTTTCCGAGACGAGACTTCTTTTTGAGGAAGTGCGTTCTTGGAATAAAAGGTCTTCAATATTTCGCGTTCAGTCCGGATGATCATTTGAGGATCATCTTCCGGATGGAGAGGAGCGAACTTTATATAGTACTTGCTGTAGGGAGAGGGAGGCAAATCAATCTGGTCCGAGTCTTGGTTCAGAAGATCATAGTACATAAACGGTACTATATCCAAATCGTGTATGATTCCTTCACGGTACAGAGGAGAGAGACCTAGCATCGGATTGGGATTGTCTTTGAGGGCTTGAATCCGGATGCTTTCCTCATGTGTTTGATTGATTTCTTCTTGGGACCAATCAAATTTTTGCTTGGGTGGAGGTCCGGAGTGATGAACTTGATGATCTTACGAAATAGGCTTCTTGCCCTTGTGTTTCTGTTTTCGGAGGGCGGAGAGGATGTGTTGCATGTTTTCGTCAACAACAAACTTCGGAGGAGAGGAAGTCAGGGGCTCTTCCAGAATATCATCCGGCTTCCGGAGTGGAGAGCCTTCATCTATAGGAGCAATCTTCGGACAGGAAGTTGGAGGTAGCATTGATGTTGTGGCTCGGAAGGCATCAACCGTTAATTTGGTTTTAGCCTTAGCCTCTTTTATGCTTCTGTGAAGAACATCAGCCAGGGTAGATGGCCAAGAGACTGCTGACCAAATTCTTTGCTCTTCCTCCATTAGCACTTTAGCAGGATATTTCCTTGGAGCTTGAAGTCCTACTACTCCGTTCTTAACATACACATCTTCTTCATCACTTTCATCATCATCATTATCATTGTCACGACTACCTGGAGAACCTGAAAGGATTTGTAAAGAGTCATCATAGTTTTCATCTCGGAGTCTGAACTCCGAGACACGTTTCCAAGGTTGAGTTCTTGAACTGGGTCCTTCTCCCCCTCTTGTAACGGAAGGCCCGACAACCGGTGCAAGGATATATGATTCCTTTAGGTCCGAAAACTTGTCAAACACCTTTTGAAAACTGGTGTTGAGCTGTAGAGTCAGGGCAACATAAACATCAGCTCTGGGAGCCTGAGCTTTGAGATGATCAAATAACTTGGAGAGAATGGAGAGCATCTCGTCGAACTAGTGATTCGGAACATCTACGATGTTCCAGCATGCCCTGAGTAGCTTGATGAGAACCTGCTGCATGAAGAGATTCATCTCATCCTTTTTCTTAATCGCCTACTCCATCCTTTGAATTTGTTTCTCATGACGAACATGAGTTTGCTTAACCATTTCATTGGTGGCCCCAATCATGTCGTCATGGACCTTGAGCATTGTAGTGATGGTGTCAAGGTAGTGATCCAAGCTATCATTGTACTTCTTTTCAACTTCAGTCGAAGAGAGATAAGCTGATCAAGTTGAGCTTCACGTTCAACAATCGTTGGTCCGGACTTGTTGGTTTTGGACAGAGATTGGAGGATTGCATCAAGCTTGGAATCCAGTCCGGAAACCTTTGCATCAAGTTTGGTATTGTGTCGGGTCACAGAAGACCCAATGGCATCAACTTTCTTCATAGTGTCAGAGACATTATCTCAGAGTTCCAGAAGGGCAGACGGATCGATGTAATTTCATGCAGAAGATCCGGTGTCCGAAGTGGAAGTATGAGACTTGTTCTTGTCATCCTCTTGGTTGACTGGCGGTTCAGATGTGCCAGGATGGGTTGTATCAGCGTTGACATTCTTGGGAGTGGATTCAGTTTCACCTTCAAGATTGACCTGGACTTAATCGTCTATACAAACTTCTTCGTCAACCGGTTTCAAAGAGGATGATGAGAGTCCGAAGTCGAAATCCGGCCTTGATGAGGATGGCTTAGTATTAAAGGGAAATGAGGAGAACAGCTTGAAAGAAGAAATTGAAGCCCCTTCATCATCGAACATGACTTCATCGGAAAGTTCTTCATTTGGATCTGGGTGCATAGAATCATGGAGATGAGTCTTTGGCGTTTCTCCGGAAGCAAACTCCAGATCTATGATTTCATCAGTAGGGACAACGAAAGGCAGGTTGCTCTGAATAGCCCTATTTCTCATCGAGATGAGAGTTGCTTCGACCTGAGACCTGGTGAGTTCTAGATGTTTTGTAGAAGCCCTGTCAACAAAATCTTCCCAAAAAGGATCGTTAACACCTGGTCGTCCTGTACCCTTACCGAGTATCAGACCAGTTGAGGCACCTAAGGTTGGAGGGACTACTCCATCCTCGGAATACTTGGGGTCCGGAACAGGGGTTTCAGACCGTGCTTGTGTAGAAACAAATGGGTTTTCAAATGAGACTCGTGGGTTTGTTCCATGGGGGCAAGGAACTTTGTTCAACACCAACAACACTGTTAGGAATAAAACCCTAATTGAGATTTGATGAACAAGATGCGGAAAATAAGAACAAACACAAATATGAAGATTAGGTCGAATGATCTCTCGATTTATTGAATTGTGAGGAACAAATTACACTTAAGAATAAGAAGCTAATACTACAAGAAACCACACAACGTGGCCGCTACATTTTTCCTCACTCTTAACCCTAATAATGAATAAAACATGACTATTTATAGGGAAAAGGCAAGTCTTGGGCTTTTAACCTACACTTCATCAAGGGGCCCATTGCCATCATCCATGGAGTGCTTTGAAACCCTACATTCTCCCCCTCAAAGTATGGAATGGATGACAATGCTTTAACTTCCAAAACAAGCATCTAGCAAATAAAAAGATCTTGCAACGAGGAATAGATGAAGCAATCCACGAATCTTGATTCTTCAATAGTCTTCAAACACGGGCTCTAGGATATATAAATCAAGCACTAAAGTAATGTCTTTAAACTTCATTTTCGAATGTAATCCCAAAAAAATCTTCATGAAAACAAAACCCGCCATAAAAACTCATTTCAGAACAAAGAAACCAAATCACTTCTTGTCATTGAAGAGCTCCCCCTCCAAGTCACAATGATCTTCAAATAAGCTAATTATATAAGCCACCAAAAATTATCATGTAACAACCCAGATTTTAAGATTCGTCACGACACTTGATCGAGAAAATACTAGAAGTCGGAGATATAACAAGTCCTTAGATGAGCTCGATGAAGAACTTCTACCGTAAAGGATACTTCTCTATAAAAACTTTAGTAGAGCTCGATGAAGAACTTCTATTGTAAAAGCTACCTTC